AGAGAAAAGGACTTGGAGCAGTGAGAAAAATTTGATTTTTTTAGAATTTTATTAAGTGGGGTGAAACCGACCGCAGTTTTCGTCTTAGAGATAATACAAACAAAAATGGCAGAATTTATAAAACATTTTAATGGTTTATTCTAGGCTTGAAACTAGAAGTTGTGTTAAAAAAAAATTTTAAAAAATGTTATCAACCAAATTTTGAATGGATATTTTAATTTTGTTGGAATTGTCTTCTCAAAATTAAAATTCTAGGTAATTTATAAATCAAAAATCCATATAAAATAAAATCAAGGGAATGGAATTTCAATTTGTTACATCCTTAATGAGTAAAAGTGTTTCAAAGCTACTCCCAAAAATATTACAAATAAATCATTTTGATTTTTCGCAAAGTGTACGACTGGGTGGCAAAGGATGCAGGACCACATGGCCACCGGCCGGCAATTGTTGTTCCTGTATATATAGCATTGTGTCAGAGTTCAATATCCTACACAGACACACGCGAGATAGAGAGGGAGAGAGATAGGAAGAGAGAGAAGCAGAGATGCAGAGCGAAAGAGACGGGCGAGTGCGAGCGAGAGGGCGTCAGCATGCAGGTGGTGCTCGTACGTGTATTATCCTTCGCTGTCGCTGAGGTGGTGGGCTGCTGCGCTTTTCCTGCTCCCTTTATCTCGTTACGGTCAGGTGACAAAACGGTCCACGCACATGGACATCATAGATATGACTAAATATATGATATGACATATGTATAAATAGTGATATATTCCAATTTATAGTGAACTTAAATGGTTGGGAGTTAAAATTTTTGATTAGACAGAATTTTGAAGATTTTTACAAAAATCATTGTTATTTTTATTTTTTTATTTTTGGTTATGTACATATTACATTCTTTTTTCCACTGCACTCTGTTTCTGGTTGGAGAATGTTCGTCATTTAAACTCGTTAGCTGCATTAATTAACCCCAGACTGGCCGTTGTCCAATTATGAAACGAGCGGTTTTCGTAACGTCTCATTTGCCGGCCACCCTTAACGTCGGGATAATAGCTATGAATATATAGGATATGGGTATGATATGGAATATGTTATATGACGTATCTTACACAAGCCGCACACATGTGCCGTACCTACTAATGAAGCCTGGGTTGAATAGTCTAGGTGGTCGACTAATTATCAGAAACTAGTAAAGTTACAAATGTTTCCGTTTGATGTAATTATTTAAAGTGGCTAGAAATAATCATTTATATTCAGTTATTCAGTTAATGTAAAGATTTTATCAACATCTTTTAGTGGAAAATATAAGGAATAATTTTAACAATCCGAAATAAAGAAATTGGTATTTTAGGGCTAACGATTTAAAGCAAAAATAAATTATAAATATTAAACAATAAATCCATTTTTTGTATTTAACCTCGAACTACTCTACCTGACTGCAATAAGAATCGGAGGTGAGAGTCACAGGATGATTTCCAATTGCAATCTCGCTGCCAATTGAATGCCGGGTGCAATGAACCCTTCAAACAATGCCGATCATTTGTAGCGAATTCGGGGTGCAAAATAATTTGATGTCAATCGAAAATGTTGCACTCCGGGGGCGTGGCAACCCTACGCCCATTTCCCATTTTCCCCGTCAAAAAGGAAAACCCACACAAAAGGGGCTAACGAGTGTAGGAAAATCATCGAACATGGTAAATACTTGTCGAACAGAGATTTAGTAGCTAAAATAACAATTAGCAAAAACATTTCTTTGCAATTGCTTCTTTAATATTGAAAATAATGATTAAATTATGTAAAACTAAAATAAAAATAATGAAAATTAATTTTCTTAAAATTGAATAAAAAATTAATTTAATTTATTTTTTCAAATTTTTCATTAAAATTGTCAAACACTTTATACAGTAAAAATATACTTTAAAAATGTATTTAAGAAAAATTTAAGGTGCTTCATTTCGTGCTTTCAATACTCCCATTTTCTTGCCAATTAGAACAATTCAGAATTTTCCCTTAAGACCCGCAGGGAATGGAAAAACGTTTTCTCTTTTGGCATATCAAACCCACCCTCTTTTTGAGGCTTACACGCCGGGATTACACGACCATTTTCTCAGTGTTTCGTTGCGTGTGTGTGTGTGTGCCAAAACAAAACTGATTTTCGGAACGCACAAATGTGCGAAATTCTGGGCGGGGGGAAGGGGAAAAACCCAGCAAAATCACAATAATGTCAATAAGTCGGCAGAGCCATAAATTGCAGCGGACTGAACCAAAGTTCAAGATCCTTTTTGAGCAGCGGCAGCAGCAGCTGCAAGGATAATGATGCTCGATCACATAGGTGGTGGTGCAAAGCTGTGGTGGTTGGACCTCCCCCTTTTTTTCCGTGTTCCCTTCAGAAAGTGTTACATAAGTTGGAAAATGGGAAAATGCAAATCGATTGGTTCTGGTTCTTTTTCGGTTTTTTTTTCGTTTCTATATTTTCCTATTGTTCCGAAAAAAACGGGTTAGCTTTCCCTTTCGAAACGAGTTCTTCAGGTTCTTCCACCGAGCTGTCCAAAAGTTTTACAACATTTTGACACATCAGCCCATACTTTAGAATTGGAAAATGTTTTACAAAAATTAAGACATATGGCCACATTTTTATAACGAAGGGTGGACCTGTGTGCACAGAAAAAAAAAATGGTGCCGAGATCAAAGGTTTATGTGACTTAAAATGATCATCATTTACTTAAAAAAATATTTTTGTGATTTATTATCTTAAAGTTTATTTAATTCTCTTTCATTTGGTTTTTAAATATTTGTAAACTTTTTATTTATCAGTTGACTCTTCAATATTTAATATTTTAAACCATTCCGAAATTCTATAGACTTTATTTTTATCTTTTCATTCAAGTCTTTAAAATAGTGTTTCAATTGACCTTAATTTTATGTAATTTTTGTTTTCTTATATTGAGAAAAACTCAAGGCCCAGCCACGCCCAAACGCCCACTTATATTTTCCCCAACTCAACTCGGAAACCGTTTATCTCTGGCTGGCAAAAAAAAAGAAAAAATAACGAACACAAAAAGCAACAACATCATCATCAACTCCCATCAAATTAAACGAATTGGGTCAGAGGATAAACAGAATTATCTTCAAGAGCCTATGCAAAAAAAAGCAAAAAAAATCGCAAGCCAAAAGGAAATTCAAAGAAAATAAGGAATAGGGCGAAAAAGTACACAGAGTCCTTAAAAAAAGAACGAAGCAAACGGTTGCCACTCGACCGAAAGGACAACCCCGCAGCAGCCCAGCCACCCAACCACCCAACCGCCCACTCACCACCCATCCACCCACCCTTTGCGAAAAAACCCCCCAAAAATTCTCTTTACTGTTGTCAAGCGAAATGTTGAAATTTCATTATTTATAACACGGAAGCTGTGTGTGTGTGGATTTTTCCCAATGTGCCTGTGTGCGTGATAGAGATGCTGCATGTGTGCGTGTGAGAGTCCTTTGAAGGACTCTTTTTCGCTGTGTGTGTGAGAGGCAAGTGTATGTCTGTGTGCGCCTGATTAATATTCCTCGGTTGCAAGGTGCTCTCTCTTTTTTTTTTTCCCTCCTCACCACAACCCCCGAAAAAGTTTTCTCTCTTTCCCATCCTTCTTTTCCCTCTCACACTCTCTCTTTATCTCCCATTCTACCGCTGCATCACTCAGTATTCAAAAAATAAATAAATAAAAGGGAAAAGAGGGAAGGGGATAGGAAAGCCCAGCAGGAGGGAAAAACTTTTTCGCCTGTCTGAGAGTCTGTTTTTCATGAATTTATCTATAAATGTTCTCTATCAAATTTTGCTTTAATATGGATTCTATATAACTAAAAACGTCATATAGATATTAAATTAAGTAAATTCCTTTGAACTGATTATAATAAATTTTATTATTATTTATATTATTATAATAAATCTGTAAAATGCTTTGTTAAAAAATATAAGAGAACAGAAGTAGGTACAATATAGGATTTCATTTTGATTTAAATCGTTGTTCAATCGAAATTGCTTGATCCTTTTAATGGAATAACTTAAGCTGATCGCTTAATATATATTACTAATTCATACATATATTCTAAGCTAATTTACTTTAAGCTAATCCTTCAAATATTACAATGCTTCCAAGTATATGACCATTAAATTCCCTTTTTTTCATGTTTTCCTTGAAGCTCAGACAAAAACATTGCTCGAGTTTATTGTAGAGTGAGAGCCTTGTCCCATTATCTCGGCCTGATATAATTTGCATCATTCACATTCAGTCAAGTTTTCGTACCCCCGATCATACCAACAGCAAAAAGTACACTGGCAATCTTAAGAATGTGAAAGAAATACCTTTAAAAAAAATGAAATCTCAATTTATATATAAATTTTCATAAAATGTATTAATTTTGGTACTGATTTTTATTTTTAATAAAAATATTACTCTGTGTTCATAATAATTATTATGAAAATAAACTTAATTAAAAAGGACATATACATAATTTTTGAAAAAATCTTTTTTTTTTTTAATTATAACTTTTTTTAATTATAAATAAAATATATAGAAACTATCCTTAAAGCCTCGGAATGGCACTTAAAAAAATAATATTATATTTAAATTTGTAAACATTCACAAACTTATTTTTTTGGTGCAAGTACTCTGGTTTCCCCACCTCGCATGCTTTGCCACCCCATCCATTTTCCGCTCTCTCTCTGTCGCTGTCTGTGTGCGTGTCCTGCGCTCTCCCGAAAAAGGGTGTGTACCGGCAGGACTCTAGAGAAGGACAGGGATAGCGAGAGACAGAGTGGTCGAAGGATATTCGGTGGTGGTAGTGGCTTTCGCTCTCTTTCGTTCCGCCGGATCGCTCCGTCTCTATTGCACCCACCGCTGCTTTTGGGGGCCGGCGACAAGGATGCAAGGATACAGGGATACAAGGATACGGCTAGCTAGGATACACATACACATGTACGTAATACATGTGTAGATATCGGGCTGAGGCCCAAGTCCTGACGCCGTATTCCTCCATTCGATTCAGTCGTACGTGTTCGTTCGTTGCTTTCGTTCGGTTTTGATTCCATTCGGTTGTGTTTCTCGTTCGAGAACATTCATTTATAATTTTTTACTCCTCTGCACCGGTTTTTGTGTTGTATATATACTTCTATATATGTATATTCAGTTACGAATTTGTTGTGTTCTCGGTTTTTTACCTAAAACTAAAAGCTAACAACTAAAAAACTAGAAACTAAAAAAGCAATAAAAAACGAAAAAAACACCGTGCAATTCCCGGGACTCGACTTCGATAATCGTGCAATATTATAGAACACTTGGGAAAAGTCGAGTAGAGTTGCAATCGCTAGCACATACACACAGACCCTAGTCAAATCCCCAATTCTTTTGCATTTTTTTGCGAGTGTGTGCCTCGAGTGTCTGACTATCAACTACTACGCGAGATTCATCAGATCCCCCAATCGTCGGCGATATATATATATATACTATATAGCCAGGAAATCGTTGGACAAAGGAGCGTGCAGGCCAAAAAAGGAGAGAGAGAGAGAGAGCGAGCGAGCGAGTCGACGCGAATGAAAGTTTTTTTGTGCAATCAATATACATCTATTATATAGTCAGTCCCCCCGCCCCACAAAACTCACTGTATGACAGTGCTACTTCTCGACCGCACCTCGCTCCCAGAACTTCTTGATTTCGTCTCGCCAACAAAGCACGTAAGTGGTAAATGCCATGATCTAATCAAGTTTATCCAGCCATCTATATTTACTCTTACCCAAAAAGCCTGCCGAAATAAATCAATAAGCGGGGGCGGCGTCATTGAAAATTTCCATGACATCTCTTATTTGTTTTTCTTGCGTTCTCGTTGCGCTGCAAAAAAAAAAAGGCATTTAATAGGCGGTTTAGCTATCTCAAAAGAGTTGTGAAAAATATATATATATATTTAAATACATTTAAAATATATCCTACATTTTGTAGTATTTAATGTTCGTAAGATTTTAAAACCTTACGTTAGAAAGACAAATTTTTGCATCAAATGTGGCTGTTGAGTTTCTTTGTGACTACTCGAAGGCAACCTAAATCAGCTGTGATTGTTTATATTATCTTATAATTATTATATAATTATTTTATCCAAATAAAAAAAATTTATTTAATTGAAATACTTAAAAAACCTAAAAAAACCAATTAGTTCACATTTCTTCATGCCTTATAAATACTGTGCCGAAGGACTCCGCCCCGCTTGAATGGCAGGGTCTCAAGGAGTCATATGTGTATCCTGACCCTCCTCAAGGCCCTCGGCAAATGCCAACCGACACACATTCGCAAATGAGGTCACAGATATCGGCGCAAAAGTGTCAATTACACATTTTTCGCTTCTCCTTCGCCCCTTTTCTTTTCAGGGGTTCGAAAGGGGGGTTGGGGTTTCAAAGGGGGGTCGCAAGCATTATCCAGTGTCACGCCATGCTGTGAAATTAAAGGATGTCCCCGGCTTGAATCCTGCATCCTTGTGGGCGAGGAGGCGCCCTTTTGCATTTCCACTGCACTTCCTTTTGTTCGCGACGCCTTTTGTGCATTTTTCTTTTCATCTCAATCCCGCACCTCAAGTACACGGCAAGAAAAATTGGTTAAGATCCAAAATAAAGCGTTGTATATTTTTAATAATTAAAAACGTGTTTTCTAAAACCAAATATATTTTTACGGGTTTTAGAATGTTCAAAACAGACAAAAAATAAATGTTCTAATGAACTTTTTTAAATAAATAAAATGTTATCGGTGATTTATTAATAATCAAAAATTCCCAGAACTTGGTCGGTTTTTTTAAAATATACATTGAAAAAGTATTACAGAGAATAATAGCTAAGGATCCGTTATAAAAATGATCATATTCATAATTTAATCGAATTTTTTTTGAAATTTACTTTCACTTAGTTTTTTTAGCCTTAATTTTTTCGCTCAGTGCTCTTGGCTTTTAACCCAGAATTGCACCTTTTGTAGGGTTCAACGAACGCAGTAACAGCTGTTGGGAGCCAAACCTCATTTGACGTGCCGCGATCCCTGCACAGAGCGAAAAAAGGCAAACAAACGGGTGTGGGAAATGTGGAAAAGACACGGGCGGAAAACTGGAAAATCCAAGCCTAAGCCCGAAACGCAGGCAGGCACACGAAGGGTTCAATGAACCCGGACAGGACAGGACATTATGGCAGGACATGCGGCCCGTTTGTTTGTTTTTCGCGTCAGGTTTTTACCCTATTTTCAATGCAGTCCTTTTACACACACATACACAGACGAGTACACACAGATGCCGGAGGCCAGGATCTAGGAAGTCCTTTTTTTGTGCTCTTTCAACCCCCAACGAATTTCCAATTGGAAACAAAAGTATACAAATTGGAAGGATATTCGAGTATTCTAATATTAACTAGAAAAGGCATTTTAAAATGTTTAAAAATAAATAAATTAAAATTAAAATATTGTTCTTGAAAAACTAAATATAAATATTATCTTTTAAAGAAAATTCTAAAATAATTGTATCATAACGCAAAAATCTTATTGGAATCCTATTTTTTCTGATCAATGGATTGCAATATTTAGACATTATTAAAATGATTTTTAATGTAGGTTTTAGTACATTTTAATTTTATTTATAAAATATAGTTCAGCAATCTATAAAAATTATTTGTTGTTCTAAAGTAATCGGTTTATTCTTATCAAATTTTTACGAAATTTCGAAATTCAAGCTTTAATCCCCGATGCAAATGTAATTTCCGCAAAGTTCAAAGGAATACATGTTAGGCATTTCCCCGTTTTGTAATAAACACAAGTTACCATTTGACACGTACTCTTTTAATGCGATTTGGCTGCCATTTGCCATTGTTCCCAGCGATATGGAGGGATCAGCAAATGTGCAGGGCTAGCATCTTTCGATTCGTATCATATATCAGGGGACATTACACACGGGATTCCATTCAGCGTTATTTACCTACAGCGATTTAATTAAATTCCAAGCCATTAGGCGAATATTTTGTGTCGACAAAAAGTGGGAGAAAAAATCAAGTTGCGTCGCATTGTTGTTTGATAAACAGATTTCGGCGTTGACTTACCCTTGTCTGCTTCTGCTTCTGCTTTTGCTGCGGACCTCAACGGGGGTGGGCACTGTAGTGGTAAAGGTGGTGATTACTGATTACGGCGACAGTAGTCACTCGATGTCCCTGCCAAGTCGTGTGTGAAACGCGCTTATCGGCACTTTTCATCGGGATAGCAACCATATTGCACGGTCTGCGAAAATGAGACAGCGTTTGAAAAGGTTTTTCGGCTAAAAAGTGCTAAAGTGCTAGTGTTATTACCCTTGAAAAGATTACAAAAGTAATCAGCTAAATTGGGAAATTTTGTGTGTGAATTCTAGCGAAAGTAATTCAGGGCATATTGTAACAATAGACCATGGGTAGAAATTTTAAAATGAATTTCCATTTAACTTAATAAAATTTAAAAAAATAAAAATATTTTGACATTTTGTTTTAAGATAAATAAGGGATTTTTAATTTTGCATCTACTTAAATAAAATTTAAAAATATTTTTAAAGTTAATTTCAGTTTTTTTTTTTAATTTTTGAATGTATCAACATTTTTTGTAACTTTTATTCTATTTAACCTTTTTTCAGATTGAGTGAAAACGAGCGAGCAATCGAACAGCCATCATTTATCAGAGAAAAGACACGGATCACCGGCAAAAAAGGAAGATTTTTAAACTGAAGAGGAAAAAGCTAAGAAACGAGGCAAAAGAAAATAGGAGAAGTAAAGGAGAAGTAAACCAAAACCAAACACCACCAAATAAAACCAACTACTATAAATTTAAAGCAAACATAAACGAATAATCATATTCAAGCGGTATATATATATACAAGAGGATAACGGATAACACAACTAACTATATATATATACGATATATGAATGTATATTTGAAAACCAAAGCTAAGTTCCAGTCAAAGAGAAAAACCAAAAACCAAAAACCAGCGCAAATTTAGTAAAAGTATAAAGTAAAAGGGAAAAAACCAAATTATTGCTATCTTTTTGCATTTTTGCAATTTTATAAAAAATAACAAAGAAAACGAAAAAGAAAAACCAAAAAACTACAACTAAAGATCATAATAAACTTTAACATTCGGAGAAGCAAAAACGAAAAAGAACAAGTAAACACATTTAGCAAAATTTACTCTTTTATCTAAACGAAAAACCAAAAAACACAAATCAAAGTAAACCTAATTCAAGCATAAATAAAATTTTAAACGTTTTAGACAGAGAACGCTCTAAACTTAACTTAAAAAGCAAATACATTTTTTTCGCGATCGTAGTTGATCTAAAAACCCCCTCAAACCCAAAGTAAATCCAAATAAAATCGGCGGGAAGAGAAACGAGCAGTTGTGCAAAGCGCAGAAAATCGCCGATCAGAGAAGAATAATTTATAAGCGAAAACCAACCAACCAAGCAGTGAGATTAACTACTAACCGAAAGGACTAAATCAGGACTAGAGGACAGGATCAGAATCGGAATCAGAATCAGGATGACCAACGCCATGGACATAGTGAAGAACGGCAGTGCCAATGGCTCCGTCGATGGCAGCAATGATGAGTCGCGCACCAATTTGATCGTCAACTATCTGCCGCAAACCATGACGCAGGAGGAGATGCGATCGCTCTTCTCCAGCATCGGTGAGCTCGAGAGTTGCAAACTGGTGCGTGATAAAGTCTCAGGTAATTTGGGTAAATATTAACCAATGATTTTACGACTATTTTCCTATTTTCCCATTGTTTGGCCTTTTTTAGCCGGTTGTAAACGATGCATCAGCATGTGTAGAATTTTCTATGGCCCCTTAGTTTATATATTTCTAAAATGCTTATGCCAATATTTAAAGTCCTGCGGAATTGCTGATGCATCGTGTATACACAGTGCCTTTTTTAAGCTCATTTATATTATAACATTTGTTATACAATTCTACACCAAAAATTATATATTTTAAAATGTAGGTTCTAAAACAAAAATATATTTGTATGGCATTCTTTTAAAAAATTTCAAAACAAATTCTTAAAAAAAAAAATTTAATAATAAATAATCGTTTATAAATACTTAGATTAATACTAAGATTATATTATTTTCTTTATGTAAATTTTCCATTTGTGTAAGCGATACTTTTAAAATAACACCAAGCATGTTTTATTCGGCTCTGTTTAACATTTCCTAAGCTATCCTTTTTTTCAGTAACATATTCAATTTTCAACAACTAATTTTATTATTTTACATTTATTTTCAGTCTTGCCAGCATCGTTGACCGCTCTCAACCCGGCACTGCAGCAAGGTAAGCACTCCCTAATCAGAACCCTAAAACAAAGACCATTATCATGCGACTAACAATTATTTTCAATTCGATTTAGGTCAGAGTCTGGGCTATGGCTTTGTTAATTACGTAAGGGCCGAGGATGCTGAGAAGGCTGTGAACACCCTGAACGGTCTGCGTTTGCAGAATAAGGTTATTAAAGTATCATACGCCCGTCCAAGCTCAGAATCTATTAAGGGTGCTAATTTATATGTATCGGGTCTTCCGAAAAATCTATCACAACCAGACTTGGAGGGGATGTTTGCTTCGTTCGGCAAAATAATTACATCTCGTATACTCTGTGATAATATTTCTGGTGAGTTTTGAACTTGATGTATTTTAAAACTTTATTCCAATTTGTAATATATTATTATATGGTATCAATAACATTTTTTAAAAATATAATAATATGTTCATCATAATAATGGTATTTATTTTATAGGTCTATCGAAGGGCGTCGGTTTTATCCGTTTCGATCAGCGCAACGAAGCCGAGCGAGCCATCCAGGAGCTGAATGGCAAGACCCCGAAGGGCTATGCCGAACCGATTACCGTTAAGTTTGCCAATAATCCGAGCAATAGCGCCAAGGCCCAGATCGCCCCGCCCCTCACCGCCTACCTAACTCCCCAGGCGGCAGCGGCCACCCGGCGTTTGGCCGGAGCTCTGCCCTCCGCCGGTCGCATAAGGTTCGTATTATAGCCCTAGATAAGGAGAAAAGTAGCAAATCTTTATAGGGAACTTAGGATTAATACTTGCAAAATCGCTATAATAACTAAAAATACTAGGAAAAATACTAGAAAATACTAAAATAATATTATTTTTTAAAGATCAATTATTTATTATTAAAAATATTTAATTTGCCACCATTTTTGTTCTATATTAAAAGATGACAGACTAATTTTACTTACTTTATAATAGAGTTGATGGAATATTAGAATCCAAAATATATTTATACACTTTAAGTCAAATTCCTAGGGTTACTTAAATTAAGTACTTAATTTCTGTTTGTGTATACGTATATTTTGCCATTTTGTTGACTAACTAATTTGTACTAATTATCCACACCCTTTTGTTACTTCTTTTTTTCTTTTTGGTGTCTATTAAAAAAACCTTTATCATCATTTTTAGCATTGGAAAGAGTCCCATGTTAGCGATTAACAAGGGCCTGCGAAGGTGAATTTATTGATCTTGTTGCTATTTTGTTATTCTATTTATTTGGCTGAAAGTATGGAAATATATCCAAATATATATATATAAATGTCTAGCAATTATGTTGATACATCGTTTGTATATATTTTAAGTTCCTTTGATTTATTTATAATTTATTTGTATTTGCTTTTTTTCGTTTGCATGTAAGAGTTGCCTTTTATTCAAATACAAAGTTTATTATCTTGATTTTAAAATTCGGAGAATAATAATATTTAAATAGAGCGTCTCAGGAGAAAATATTACATTTAAATAATGTTAAATTTGGTTTTAATTAACATTTATCAGTTTAATTTCTGTGTTTTCAGCATGCCTCTTAAAAGTCTAAAAAGGTGTTAAACAAATCTATAATTATTAACAGGATTAAATTTAAATTTTTTTTTAATACAAGACAAATAATAAAATAAGTATTTATGTGAATACCAGAATAATTCAATATTGCTATAAACGAATTATAAATCAAAGTCGCTTTTTAAAGTTAAAGTAAGGTATACGAAAATACCTCAAAATGCATACCTATTTCTAGTATTTAATAAAGAAAATATTTAATAAAAGAAAAATATGAAAAATGATAGGTAGAATTTTATCAAAGTAACTCAGCATGTGCCTTGAAAATCCCGAAAACAAAAGATCCCAAAGTTATAGTTAGGTGTAAAGGAGGGCCTAGGAGAGAACCTAATATTCCGTATACTATTGATGTAGATCCCTGCACCATTAAGCACTTAACTAATTTTATTTGTTTGTCTCATTGCCGGCTTGAATCGCAAATGCACTTTAGGTACTCACCGCTGGCTGGCGACCTCTTGGCCAACTCGATCTTGCCCGGAAACGCAATGACCGGCTCGGGATGGTGTATATTCGTCTACAATTTGGCCCCGGAGACCGAGGAGAACGTGCTGTGGCAGCTGTTCGGTCCCTTCGGGGCCGTTCAGTCGGTGAAGGTGATCCGCGATCTGCAGACCAGCAAGTGCAAGGGCTTCGGATTCGTCACCATGACCAACTACGACGAGGCCGTGGTGGCCATCCAGTCGCTGAACGGCTACACCCTGGGCAATCGGGTGCTCCAGGTCAGCTTTAAGACTAACAAGACCAAAACCACTTAGGCGAACCCGCCAATCTGGACTAGACCTCTCCAATACTCCACGATCTGTTTGATTTGACGACACCTAGACACCTAGACTATAGATTGATCTGATCTTATATGATATGATGCGATATGATATGGGACAATAGTCGAAATTGCGAATATTAGCGCGAGTTATGATGTGTCTATCATTTGATTTGTACGCTAAACGAAATTATTATGATTGTAATTCTAATGAAATCTTAGTGAAAATTGATTTATTTCCATCTGTATAATTTAATTTAATTATCTAAACCAAGAAACAAATAACAAAAAACGAAAAAAAAAAACAAAGCTTGAATGAGGCAACCAAAAAACACAACACAGAAACTAAGGCAAACTTTAGAAAAAGGAAGATGTGCAAGACAAATGTCTATAAATTGACAAATGAGTAAAAAATGAGAGGGAATAAGAAGTAAAAATAAAAGAAAAGAAAAAACGAAAAACGATAAATAAAAAACCGCAAAAATATGAATAACAAACGAAAATGATCTAAGTCGCAATATATAGTAACTATTTTTTTTTAACACTTATGTATATGTAATTCAATTCGATTATATTCAATTAAACAAAGTATTTAAACAAGCTAACCAAATGATTTAATGTCTATTGATTTAAGATTTACCAACATAACTCTCTCAGCTTACCTAAGTACTTATTATAATGGATATGCATAAATATATTGTATTGTATTGTATTTTGTGTTCGTTTTGCAACCTTAACTTACATTAACTTACCTTACATTACATTACATTAATTCTAGTGCTATTCAGCTCTTATATTTAATTCGATTCGCCATGATTTACACTCGAAGACGAAACGAAAATCGAAGATAAAGCCGCGATATATCCTCCAAACGTAACAAGAAAACCCAAAACCCAACCCCCAGCACCGAAAAACACACTCACACGTAATCATTATTATATATATGTAACCAGATTTAATTACCCTTTTTTCGTCGTCTAAGATTTGTATTCTCGTATTCGTCAAGTGCAAACCAAAGTAAATGAAACCAAGAAAACTTATTATATTATATTAAATTATATATTATTACGCCTACTTATTATTCCATTTTTATAATTATTATAACTTATTGAATGCAACAAAGCGAAACAAAACAAAAGCAAACCAAAAAAAAAAAACATAACTACAACTAAAAATATATATTTATTATTAAATAAATGTGTGACTTATTCCAAAAACTATTCAAAAAAAAAAAGAAAAAAACACAAAAAACTAAAACACAAAAATTTGTTTCCTTTTTTTCCTCAAATATCCACACACACACACCCAAACTAGAGCTGGTAATATATCGATTATTCTCTTGGTAGTATCGATTTTTTTCCTTGGAGCCAGCAATCGAAGTCGATAATTAGTTCGATATTTTCGATGACACTATCCATTTACTATCGATGGCTTGCCAGCTCTAATCTCTACCCACCTGAAAATTGGCAATATTGCAGGCAAAACGCTTTCACAGTTGAAGTGATCATTGAACAATTGGATCGGATCGAAGATATATCGAAATATGGCCAGCAAAAATCGGAACTTCAGCCGTGCAAATCGCTCCACACACCACAAGACCATTTACCACACCAAAAACAAAACAACAACAGCACTCGCATTTATAAAAAAAGATATTTAAAATACAAACTAAGTTTCAACGCTCTATAAAGTATGACTAAGTTTTAACTAAGTTTTACGCCTATATAAATAAATATCTAACCAAACACACGAACTATATGTACGCGCATCTAAGTAAATTCGATTTTTCAATCCGATATTCTAGTTTCCAAATCCGAGATCATTTAGTAGAGTCCACCAACAATCAATGTGTGTGTCTGTAGTTTAACGGATGGCGAGAAAATGTGAACGTGAGGAGATATGAACATTTTTTAGGAAGCAAACATTTTTTTTTGTGTACTTAGGGCTTAAGGGTCAGGCCACATCTACATGGCAATCGGCCATGAGGCGATAAAACACTAAAAATAATAGAGACAAGAAAGAAAGAAAACAAAACTTTAAACTAGGAAAACCAAGGAAAACCAAACAAAAGCAAAAACTGAAGTTGAGAGGAAGTTGCGAATGCAAATTGAAAACACCAAATTTTTAAATATATAATATAAATGATGTAAAATTTTTTAAACAAAGATTTATAGTAAAATTTATTAAAGTATACATATATATATATATACATATATATATATATAGTTGTATTAAGTATGTATAACGACATATACAAAATACACAAGGATAAGAGAAACCACTACGGAATCACGAAATTCAAAGGAATATGAGCAAAGTGAAATGTGAAATACATTAAAAAAATACCTAAAATTACCTAAAAACGAAGAGATCAGCAGAGGACCGGAAGTCCTCGAAAGAGAACTGCTCGCAAGCAGTTGACTGCTTGCAAGCGAAAACGGTTCGCCGTTGGCACTCAAAGCGAAAGTTCGATCTTCAATCGATTGCTGATTCGTTTTCCACTTCCCGGCGACTAGTTAACCTACTCAATACTCAATATGGCATATGGAATAATCAAGTAATCAAGTAATATCCGCAAAATAACCGCCGCAACGCTGCTGCGCAGGCGCGTGTGTCATTCACAAAAGCAATATGGAGATGTGGCGCGAGTTGGCTGTTTTGGCCCATGCTGACTTACTATATATATATATACACCCATATATATATCGGACGGAGGGAGGCGAACGGAACGCAGTTGTACAAATCGCAACTCAGCGACTCGGTCACATTCATTCATGGCACTTACGCCGCCACTTACAATTTACCCGAAAAAAACAAAACAAAAATGAATAAAACACCCATATTAACCAAAGCATATTAGTTTAAAGTCAGCTAAATAAAGACCGAAAACTAAAACACACACGCAGATTTATGCAAATCCACACACCGATCAGTTGGCGAAGGTTCTTCGATATTAATTTTAGTCAAGAAATACAAAAATTACAAACAATAACAAAAACAGCAGAATGCAAAACTAAAACTGAACCCAACAATGAAAATCATCAACTAAGCATGAAATGCATTTAAAAATTAAATACAACAAATACATATTTATATATATATATAGATGTAAATGTCTATTTGTATGGCCAGGATAGCGAAAATATGAAATTATAGCCCCGATAACAGAATCGAAAACCGTAACAGAGCAACACCAAAACGAAGAATTTGAAGATAGAAAAACCAAAAAGCGAAAGTGAAGCTACACCCGAAAATCAACTTCCAACATTTTTATTGATATACACTAAAATCTAGACACGTAAGGCGATTTCATCGATACCAAAATCTAAGCTAAGACGAGATTGCATGCATATTAGCGAATATGAAACTTCAATTTAGTGTTTAAGCATCGAGAAAACGTGCGACAGATTATGCAAAAGTACAGAAATAAGCGAGAAAACAAGCCAAAAAGCGTTATAAAACCGGAAATTCGAACAATTTAATGGTCGCCTCAGGCAAAAGACACGGTAAGCAGTGCAAGCAGTCTAGCGACTTTTTACAAGCAGTTGGCTAAATAAAAACTGCTTTAGATTTAAACAAAAACCAGAAGAGATAAAATGTTGAATGATTTGCAAAATTCAAGAAAATAAATAAAAATAATAAAAACAATAAGGAGAAGACAAAAAAATATACGTAGCCGCTTTGTCAGACGGAACGCGCCCAAACAAAACTAAGTAACTAAGTAAATAAAAATTAAATTAAAACCAAACATAACAAAAAGAAATCGCAAAAATATTTAAATCAATTTTTTGCATAAGAAAATCGATAACCGTTATGCATATACATATATGTATGTAAGCCAACTATATATGTGTTTGTGCAAGAACAAAGATCACAAATCAAAACCAAAAAAAAAAAAAAAATCAGAACTCAACTTCAAACTTAATTAATTATTATCCATTTGATTGTGTATGCTAATTATTATTGTCTATAGCGTATCGTACAAATATTTATATACTTTTTCGTGCACATCCAAGGGGAGCACCTACTTATGCATTACCCTGCGATCTGCGATCGTACTTATCCAATTAGTTAACCATATACCGCATACCCATGTACTTACCTTACTTTATATATGCTTACTTACTCACATTTCGATATTGTATTCGTAGCCCCTGAGTAGAACTATTTCAATTAATTTGTACACTCCCGAAGTCACACAGTCCGCAACCTCAAAGCTCCGACTTAATGAATTGCATACGTATAAGTCAAATATATTAGAGGTCTACATGGATCTGAAGAGGTTTCGATCAGACAGCGCGAATTCTTCAGCGAAAAGTGATTCCCTAGTTCCCTATCATCGATATTTAAATTTAAAACATTTCTTCGGATTTAAATCTCTTTCGATTCCGGCGCCTCTAATATTTCTAAATGGTTAGACGCATATTTGTATGTATTTACCATAAATATAGCTAACTTAACACAGACACACGAAACAGATCACACAAACAGATCACACCAACTCAACTCACACAATAAAGGAAATGATACCGAGGTGACTCAAACTCAAATTTAGATGCATATTATTATATAACTTATATTGGAAAACAAAAGCGATAAGATGAAAACGTAAATTTTACTATACTCGTACATATAAATTATATGAATGTATGTAAATTATTATTATATTTGTATTTTATTGTACGTATTAGTTTTGTTCTACACTCTTTTGCTCTTTCATAAACAAAAACCAAAAAAAAAAAACCAAAAACGAAATCCAAACGAAACTCGATTACAAAAAGTAAACCCAAACAACAAAAAGCCGGCAAGCAATGGTATACAAAATAAAATAAAAATATGACAAAAGAAAATCGACAAAAAAAAATAAAATAAAATTGAATGAAAAATTTACCAAAAAAAATGCAGCTTGTTTTTATTCCCTGGAAATTGAACAATGAAACACATTGGTTGCAGTTAACATGTTTTATTCACTACGTAAGTGTGCTGGGCTAAGAGGAATAAATATCATATATATATATCTGACATGTACAGCATCAAAACATTACACATATTTATATATATAAATATCATAGTGTCGTATATATCTTAACGAGATAGACAAAAAAAAAGTTGTATTAGGTACATGGGTACGTATGTTTCATTTTGCGTCTGTGCTCATTTCCTCTCAGGACTCGTATTTTAACATATATCATAAAATAGTACACATAGTATTTGGTTTTAAAATCGTTCGCAGAACCATTACACTATATTCTTGACGCTTGATTCCCGCAATTTCTCTGGATATGGCATAAACTGTTTTTTAGTTTCATCAGGGATAGCTGTCTGAAACCTAAATACTTAGAAGGGACATCCTCTACGCAGGATCTACTAAATATGTATAACAATTTATTTGGCTTACACATATGTTTAAACATTAAATGCTTTAATGTTGTTATTTTTTTTTATATTTTAAATTCAATTTTTTTGAGACGGTATTAAAATGCCTTTAACAACTTGTCTAAGTTTAAATTAATTTTAGTTCAAAATTTTTGAAAATTCAATAAATAGATTTACGAAAATATTTTGAGGAATTTATAGGAAAAGTTTTTAAAAGTTCTTAAAGTTTCTTAA